AAAGGACCTACTATGTGCCAGACCCCCCCCCACCCCAGCTGCAGGCTTTATACCCATGAGCAATAGAGAGCATGATGCACGTTACGACATATTATTATGCAGAGATCATAATGGCATAAATTAGAGCTACGGGGGTAGAGATCATTACAGAAGGGAAGTTACCTACATTAGAGAGAATGTAGGCAAAGTGCGGCGCATGGGGTCCGGTCCGTCACTGGCACTTCATCAATGGAGACTGGGATTACCAGGAATCCTTGTAAGATATTATGGTCACCACGTCCTGGGTTTGCAAATGACAGAGAGCTTGTTAAGTGGCGTTCTTGGGTCACACAGCTAACAGAGGACTGAGCCAGGGTTAACATACACACCATAGCCTCCATTTTTAGGGACTTGAACAGGCTTTTGGGGGACCAGCCATATGTCTCTGTGATGCACCAGGGAGGCTCCCAGGCCTCCAGAAACTCAAAGTTCAGGAAGGGAAGTGGTGCCATTATTAGACAACCCGGCGAGATGCGGGCTGAATGGTGTGGCTGGAGGGGTGAGGATGGGGGAGGTAGCAGGACGCTGCATTAGCCCTGCTGGCCGTGGGACCGTCACAGAGAGGGTGACATCCGAGCAGAATGCTGAAGAGTGTCAGTTGGCCAAGCTGGAATGGGGGAAGGGCATTCCAGGGGGGGCACCTGGGAGCAGGACCCTGGAGCTGTGAAAACAGGGACGGTTAGATACCAAATGGATGCCCTGAATTGCGGCATTAATTAGAACCGTCTGCCTTGCATTATTGGCGTTAGAGGTGGGAAGAGGGGTGTGTAATCTTAAAATGAGTCAGGACCCCCCCAGGCTAAACCTCCTTCATACCCCAAATGCCTATTCCCTAACCCATCATGTACCTCTCAGCTCCATCAGCTTACCTAAAACACAACTGAGCATGAGTCTTTTAAAACCTTAAGGGTTTCTGAAATTTCTCTCTTCCTCTCTCTCTCCCTCCCTCCCTCTCTCTCTCTCTCTCAAGATAAAGCATAGAAAGGAAAATAAAAGAACTAAATAATTATTGGTGAAGGTTTCTCAGAATGGAAGAGCTGGGAGGGGCCCAGAGAGGGGAAGTACCTTGCCTAGCATCACACAGCAAGTCAGAGCTGGGACCAGAAAAACCACCTAAGTGTGGCTGCAGACGCTGAGCACACTGGGCAGTCACAGTTTTGAAAATGCCGCATGACAGGGAGACATAACAGCTTCTAGAGTCCAAAAGAGCTACATTTAAATCCTGGCTCTGCTACCCCCACTAGCTCTGTGGTCTCGGACAGGTGACTGCAGGTGGCCATTCCTAGACTCACAACAGGATGCTTGTTCTCCTTATCCCCAGCGCCGGGCGCACAGCAGGTGCTCGATGAATATCTGTTGGATGAGAGAGAGGTGGTGAGTGTGTGAGTTAGTTAAATAACGTGAAGTTCTTAGTAAAGTTTCTGACCTAAAATCAGCAAATAACCACAGTCGACTCTATTTTCACCCTTTCCTCTGTGCCGCATTTTATGCTAAATACTCTGCATTCATTATTTCATTGATGATGACACCATATAAAAAATGTCTTAAACTCATCGAGCACTTGCTATTTGCAAGTTGCTGAGCCCTTTACCCGTATTAAATCATTTCACTCCTACCAGGACACTTAGGTGATGTCACAGTGGCTATCCCCTTTTATTCTTTTTAAAGACTTTATTTATTTATGAGAGAAAGAGACAGTGAAAGAGAGAGAGAGAGAATGAGCAGGGAGAGTGGCAGAGGGAGAGGGAGGAGCAGGCCTCCCGCTGAGCAGGGAGCCCGATGCGGGGCTCGATACCAGGGAGCTGGGATCATGACTTGAGCCAAAGGCAGACGCTTAATGACTGAGCCACCCAGGTGCCCCCTCCTTTTTATTGTTTTCTAAAGATTTTATTTATTTGAGAGAGAGAGAGAGAGCACGAGCTGGGGGAAGGGCAGATAGACAAGCTGACTTCCTGCTGAGCAGGGAGCCCAGCACAGGGCTCGATCCCGGGACCCTGAGATCATGACCTGAGCCAAAGGCAGATGCTTAACCGACTGAACCACCCAGGTACCCCGTGGTTATCCCCTTTTACTGATAAGGGAACTGAGGCTGGGAGAGACGAAGTTGCTTGAGGACATGGCTGGGGAGGGGCCGAGTCAGGACTCGAACTCAGATCTCCTGGGCCAAAGCCAGTGTTGTAACCCCACAATAAATAGTAGAGAGGTGCTCCACAAGGGACAAATGCCTAGCCCCATCTTACAGAAGAAGAAACTAAGGCTCAGAGAGGTGCCTTCCCCCTTTGCCCCCCATTTCCTGGGACCTATTATAACCATACATCTCTGGAAGAAAAAAGTTTCAGCCAGGCTCCATCCAGCTTGCCTTCTCTGACTCTGCTACAGAGCCCAGCCCCAAATCTCTCCCTGTTTATGGGCCCCAACACGGTTCTCTAACCAGGAAATAAAAGGACCTAATAACAAAGCCCAGTAACCATATGATTGATAGCTGTGGAATATTTCTCTTCAGCTACTGCCAACCCTGTTCTGTGCTAAGTTAATTCTAAGCCCTAAAAATTAAGCGCCTTGTCCAGAGGCACTACAGTTCTTAAAACAGGGATGTCGCTGCTTTGCACTGTAAGAATTCAGCTTGAGATCCAGGCAAGAAAGAAGGGTCAGCAGTTGAGGGCAGCGTTGACCCCAGGAGCACAGATGTCCAGCAGAAATCATGGAAGCAAAGGCCCCAGTAGAAATAAAAACCTTCCAATCCATTACTGGAGGGAAATGGGATTTTCCCGGAGCCAAAAGTTGTAAGGAATCCAAGAACAGCAAAGTTCCTAGAGCCCAAATCCCATCCTGTTGCAGATAAGGAAACTGAGGCCTGGAAATCAGAGGAGACTGTCCCAAGGTTACTCTATCAGTCAGCTATTACTGTGTAACAAATGACCCCTAAACTCAACAGCATGAAACAGCAAGCTTGTATCATTTCTTACGCATCTGCAGGTCAGCAAGGCAGTTCTTCTGCTCTCAGCTGGCTCACGCATGCGTCTCTGGGCATCTCTGGGCAGCAACAGGTTGGGTAGGTGGTTCTGAAGATTTCTTAGGTGTTTGGGTGGGTTGGCCATCAGAGGGTCTGGGCTAGTCTAGGGATGGCTTATCTGCTCCATCCTCCAACAGCTAGCTCAGGCTTCTTCCCATGGTGACCAGCCAGGGTTCTAAGACGATGAGAAGCAGCATTCAAGGCCTCTTGAGCCTAGACTAGAAATTGGCCCAGCAGCATCATCTGCCATATCCTATGGCAAGTCACAAAGCGAGAGCCAGCCCACATTCTAAGGGTGGAGAAAGAGACTCCACCTCTTGATGGTGGGTGTTTTGAAGCCTCGCTGCAAAGAGCGTGGACACGGGGAGGGACAGAGCTTTGAAATCATGTTCGCACTCAAGCTGCCTAGGCCAGGGAAGAGTGGGGGTTAGAACTCAGGGCTCCTGGTTCACCGTCCAAAGCTCCTAACGGCATCACTGTGTACAATGGCCCTATGAGGTGGCCCTCACCATCCCCATTTTACTGAAGGAATCCAAGGCTCAGAGAGGTGAAGAACTGGCCTACGATCCCACCTCTTGGAGTGAAGGAGATGAGATTGGCACTTGGCACCTGGTACCTGGAATTTATTTTTTTTAAGATTTTATTTATTTATTTGAGAGAGAGAGAGAGCACAAGTGTGGAGGAGAGGGAGAAGCAGGCTCCCTGCGAGCAGGGAGCCCAACATGGGGATTTATCCTAGGACCCCGGGATCATGACCTGAGCTGAAGACAGATACTTAACCGACTGAGCCACCCAGGCACCCCCAGGTACCTGGAATTTAGAAGGCTCGGGGAATGTTTCATTCTCTACACGATGCCTCCAACATGCGGGAGAGGGAAAAAGGCCTTTGCTCATGGTAGGAAATCTTGGGTTCAGGTCCCAGATCTTCCACTTATCTGCTGTGTGATAAGTCACTCCACTTCTCTGAATCTCAGTTTCCTATCTTTAAAATGAGGATCGTAAAGGTACCCGCTTCTTAGAGTCCGAGAGGATGAAACACGTGGCAAGGACCTGGTACATTACACACACTGAGTAATTTAATTGGCAGCTATGATGGTGATGACCATGATGAATTCTTACTCCTAGGATGTACATACACTAAGCTCCGTTATGCAACCACACACACACACACACACACACACTCATGCTCTCACCATGGCTGATATCCCCTGAGCGTGGCATTTGGTGTGACAGTGAGGAATCAAGAAGGTTCATGGAAAAGTTCTAGCCAGGCATCCACCTGACTGATTGCTCCCCGTGGCGTGGTCGCTGGTGACAGGATATCACAAGCTCCAGGATAGATCGTCCCACAACACCTGCCTGTTTCCTGCCGCAGCCCCTCCACGCTCCTCCCAGCCCCGGTGATGGCGCGAGCAGCGACCCACCCCCTGTCCTGAGCTGGGCCGTCGTCCTTGCCGGTGCACACCTAGAGCTCAGGGCGTTCGGGTGCAATTAGATTGACACCCTGGGGAGATGCGCTGCTTGTTTTATGAAGCCCTGACATGCAGTGGCCTCGCGCACTGACTATTCAGCGGGGTTTACTGAGGGCTCACCGTGTGGCTGCTATCGCCCTAGATTACCCGAGGCCCAGAGATAACAACTCCCACGGATCGAGCCCTTCCCGCCCGCCAGGCTCTCCGTGTGCCCAGTACCCGGGTCAGCTTACTTAATTCTCAGAGCAACCAAGGAGTCCGCACGCTGAGGTCCCCCGCATCACCGAGGAAGACACAGACGCTCAGAGGGGCTCTCGGTGGCTGGCCAGCTGGACGTGGGGGTGCCAGGATTGGGACCCGGCTGCCTGACGCTGGGCCCATGGGCCGCACCACCTCTCGGCCCTGCCTCTCGGAGTGGAAGCGGTGCGATCCTGACGGCAGCCGGCGGCCCGGAGAGTTCTGAGCGGGCCAGCGGCATGGTCAACGCCGCGGTGTGGACAGTGCGTGCAGCCGGAGGCCCTGACCGTGGTCCCCTGACGGCCGTGGCCCGGGGAGGCCCCTGGACGCCAGCCTGGTGTGAGCTCGGGTGAGCCCTCGAGGTCTGGCCCTGGAGGACGCTTCCTGCGCTCGGCCCACGCGACCCACGCGCCCCACGCAGCCTTGTGGCCGCTCAGCCGAGCCACACCAGGCGCGACGACGAGTGCCTTCTCCCTGCGCATCGTGATGGGGGTTCGGAATGACAGGGACACATGCCGCCGCGGTCGGCTCCTGCTGGGGACAGCTCTGTAACGTGTTCCTCCAGCCATGCGGAGCCCGGGGCCACCACCACCTGTGTGTGTGTGTGTGTGTGTGTGCGTGCACGCACCACGCACTTCACACACACACACGCACCACACACGCACCACACACACATACCACATACACACCACACACCCATACACCACACAGCGATACAGACACGCACCACAAACACACACACACACAACACAAGTCCCAATCCACCCTTAATTACGCTCGTATTTAATTATGCTTTAATGATGGTCTCTCAGGGTCAGCTCTTGCACCCTGACTTAAAGGTCCTAATGAAGAAGGCCTCAGAGCCCACCCACTAACTTTATATATTTGGAGAAACTCCTCTCCAGAAAGAGGAAGAGCTGTGGGCATCTCCACATAGGAAAGTCATGGCAGGGCCACAGATCTGTCCGTGGTCACACTTGGGTCCCAGAGGCCCAGGCTTCACCAACCTACATCTGAATCCTGGTATTTCCACCCTGATGCCTTCATCGCTGCTGAATGGGGAAGGGGGGAAATGTGGGGTCCAACTTCCGGAATAGAAGGAAAGCACGAAGCACAAGGAGACCATGGCCATTGTTAATTCATTTTTTTACAGTTCATGGATTCTGAGATTATCATCTGGGGAAACTGAGGCCCAGGCTGGGCAAGAGACTCATCCATAGTCACAGAGCAGGGAAGTGGCAGAGGGGGCGGCTCCCGGCGCGACCTCCTGATACCGGGTTTTGCTGCTACAGCACCCTACCCCGTCCCCTCATCCCTTTGCAGGACTGTATCATTCATCACAAATATTCTCTTGAAGGCAAAAGATGCTCTTTTAATTAAATTCCTGGCCCTAATTATCTCCTTTACAGCTCTCCACAATATCATCCCCATCTTACAGGTGAGGACACTGAGGCTCAGGAGGTTAAGCCACTTTCTCAGGGTCACGCAGCTAGAAATCGGCACCTTGAAGGTTTGAATCAGAGCCCATTCTCTTAGCACTGCCTCTCAAGATGGAGCAAATCACCAGGCTGGTTAAGGACTGACTTTTTCGTAGACAAACCAGCCAGGAGCTGCTGGGTTTTCTCCTGGTCCACGATGCTGGGTGGTGAAATGTCTTGTCATTGACCTTGACAAAGCTTTGCACGCCGTGTTCGGAGATGGCCTCATCCAGCGATGTGGAAATGAGAAGCAGCTCGGCCCCGGGGGTGGTCCCGGAAGAAAGGCACGTCCAGCACGGGAGTCTCATTCTTCTCTTTCTCTTTGGGGATGAGAGGGGGGAATTGGTGGAGAGGGGGAGAGGTGGAGAAACCCGAGTAGGGAGGGAAGGCAGTGGAGAACAGAGTCTGAGCCTCCTCCACACTGAAACCACAGCACAGCAGTGTCTTTGGGTCCTGGCTGCTGGTGCAGCCTCTTGGAGAATTTTGAGGGACACTGAACCCGGGGCCCACCCCCCGAGATGCTGAGGGTCTGACTGGTCTGGAGCGCAGCCTAAGCACCATGGGGAGGGTTCAAATCTCCCCAGAGAGTCTCACATACAGCCAGGACTGAGATCCACCGGCCAAGGCTGGGTTCTGAGCCTGACCTCAAAGGGCGCCTGGTGAATGTCTCGGGAGAGAGAAAGCACAAAAAAGGCAATAAGAAAACTGTGCATTTTTTATGCATTCAGGTGGCCTTTCAGGGAGCCAGAAAGATTGGTCTTTTATGTCCTCCCTGGAGTTAGCATGGTTTCTTGTTCTGTCTGCCATTTTATCAAATTTAATTGAAACCAAATGAGCACTGGATCTGCAGAAATCCCACGGTGCAGAGGGCTGTCGGCGCTGGTTGTGCGGCATCATGAAGGAGCACAGAGGCCTTGGGACCTGAGCCTTTCTAGACTCCGTTTACTCCTTTGTAAAATGGGATTCATGACATCGCTTTGTGGTTGAGGGGATCCGACGAGAAATGGACACAAAGGAACTCTGAACAGGTCTTTTTAGAAAAGTTTTAATGTACCTAACACTGCATTTATGGGCTTTGGTTCTCTCCCCCCTCCCCCTGCTTTATTTAAAGCTTATGGTTTATTTAACCACCATCTCTACGGTCCCATGGAGGTCCTGCCTGAATTGCAACACAGTGTTTTCTTAAAGTCATTCAAGCCCTCTGAGCCTCAGTTTGCCCATCTGGAAAATGGAGAAAAATTCACCATAATTCATCCATGTAAATGACATTTATCTCATCTGCGCCAAGCCCTGGGCTGGGCTCCGGGGATACGGGGTAGAAGAGCATGTGGTTTCAGGGGCACCTGGGTGGCTCAGTCGGTTAAGCATCTGCCTTCAGCTCAGGTCTTGATCACAGGGTCCTGGGATCGAGCTCCGCATCCGGTTCTCTGCTCAGCGGGGAGTGTGCTTCTTTCTCTCTCGCTCACTCTCTCTCTCAAATTAATAAATAAAACTTAAAAAAAATAAAAGAGCATGTGGCTTCAGGGAGTTTGGGCAATCTGGGGTGGGAGCCGACAGAGGGTCTGCCTCCCAACAACGTAGGTTTGGATTCTGGTTGTCCTCTACGACCAGCTGTTTGAGCTGTAGTATCTTCTTCACTGCTGGGTGCCTCGGTCTGCTTCTCTGTGACATGGGTGAGGACAGTGGTACTTACAGCCTTTGTCCAAGGGTAGAAATGGTGTATGAAGTGCTTGGAACAGCTCCTGGCATGTGGGAAGCCTTATGGAAACCTTGGCTAGTTATCATATGGCTGTAAATGCAGGGTGGGGTAGGGAGCACTGAAGGACCTTAAGGGATTTGTAAAATGTTGTCAAGCAGAAAGGTGAGGTCCCTTTACTCCAGATGAAGGAACCAGCACAGCCTGAGGCAGGTCTAGGGGCTGCAAAGGGTCTGGTGTACAAAGACATTTGAGACACCAGAAGTGGGCTGGGGGCCCGACAGCAGACCCCCAGGAAGTCCAGAAAGGCTGAGAAACTGGACTTTATTCTGGGGGCTTAATTTTACTTTTTCCACAGCCCCATTCTATTACCAGCTATTTCTGATTTTTTTCCCCTTAAACTGCATATAAATTGGCTTGCTTTTTCACTTGGCTTACTCTCAGCAAAATAATGTCCGTGAAATTAGAAGTTTGATGTGCAGACCATATATTTATATATTTTTTTCTAATTCACATTTAAATAAATACATAACCATTAGACATTTTCAAATACGTTTGTCTAGCTAAAATCATCTCGTGAATGCCACTGGGGAAAGCCTTTTAAAGGCAAGATTTCTAAGCAAGGGTCAGCCATTTGTTTAAAAAGGAATAAAGAAAAGCAAGGTGGCTTGCTCATCATTTCTTTCTACATCCTCTGTGGAATATTAACTGCAGCTCAACAATTACAAAGCTCACCCACCACCTTCCCCCCACATCCGGGCCCCTGATTGGCTGAGGTATGGATGGGGAGCACCTGCTGCCCCTGAATGGCAGTCTATACCATGCTTAGGCATACACTGCCCTCTGCTGGCCAGGAGAAGAATTACTTCACTAGAGAAGGGCTTGCTAATCTGTGTCACAATCAAATTTGTATGCTACTCTAATCTCTTTGGCTCTCTAGACCGTAGTGAAAACAATAATGGGGGTCCCTCGAGCTGTTTTTATCCTTTTTGAAGAGGTAATACATTCACATGATTCAAAACCCAAAAGTACAGGGGCGCCTGGGTGGCTCAGGCGGTTAAGCGGCTGCCTTCAGCTCAAGTCATGATCCCAGCATCCTGGGATCGAGTCCTGCGTCGGGCTCCCTGCTCAGCGGAGAGCCTGCTTCTCCCTCTCCCTCTGCCTGCCGCTCTGCCTACTTGTGCTCTCTCTCTCTACCTCTCTGTCAAAAAAAATTTTTTTTAAACTTTAAAAATTTAAAAAGATTTAAAAACCTCCAAAGAACAGAAAAGTCTACTGTGAAAATCAAGTTTCCCTACTTTACACAGCAAATAACCTCCTCTCCTGTGCCCCTCCCTAGAGGCAACCACGGTAACTAGAGTTTCTCATGCATCCTTCACAGGCTCTTCTTTTTTTTAAGATTTTACTTTTTTTTTTTTAATTTTTTTAAAGATTTTATTTATTTATTTGAGAGAGAGAGAATGAGAGACAGAGAGCATGAGAGGGAGGAGGGTCAGAGGGAGAAGCAGGCTCCCTGCCGAGCAGGGAGCCCGATGCGGGACTCGATCCCAGGACTCCAGGATCATGACCTGAGCCGAAGGCAGTCGCTTAACCAACTGAGCCACCCAGGCACCCTAAGATTTTACTTTTAAGTAATCTCTATACCCAACGTGGGGCTTGAACTCACGAACCCGGGATCAAGAGTCACATGCACCACCGACTGAGCCAGCCGGGCACCCAGACTGTTTTTAAGTACCCCAAAAAATGTAACAGAAACTTTCTCTCTGCCAAAATAAAGCCCTCCCCCCAGACTAAGTCACCAGTTTAATGCTGGTTTTATTACATATTCGATTATACACCATCGATAATGACAACAAAACAAGGCAGATTTAATCGTTATCAGGAAATGTAAAATGTTTAGGAGACAATCTTTCAACACAGGGAGTCTGTAGGGAGAAGAAATATTACCTTGGTAGGAAAACAAAAGTTGAAATGATGGATCTAATCGAATGGACTTTAGTGATGCTGTCGTAAGAACTTAAGGTACAGCAGGATGCCAGGGGCAGTGAGATGGGGCTTCCTCATCCTACAGATTTTATTTGTAATGTTTTTCACACTTTCTGATACCAGACTGAAGCTAGTCACACTTTTTAAAAAAAGATTTTATTTCTTCACTTGGTGGGGAAGGGCAGAGGG